ACACAGCACAGTCTCAGGTATTAATTCAGGCACTGCTTTCTGACCAGTACAGACTGCCTAAAAACCGGGCATGTATTTTGTCTAGGGGAAGAAATAGATATAGCTGCTTAACTCTTCTGCTGGATACAGCATATCTGTTCCAGGAGGAGACAGGCTCAGCTGAAGGAGTTCTGAGGTACGGAAAAGGGCAGTATTGAGTCAGTGCTGTTACAACACACAGTATTATCAGATAAAATATACTTTTCCCATAGTCCAGCTTGGCTTTATGAGGTTGTGAGAGAGGGTTAGAAGTATATTCAGATACCTGGTGGATTTGGACAAGCAGCATTGCTGTAATCTGTAAAATGGGCACTGCTGAGCAGCCTGTATTGAAGGGTACGGCGATTCTATAACAGTTAGGACACGCAGTGAGAAATACACTTTACATCCTTTGTGTGTGCTAAACCCAAAGAAAGTGTCATGAAATTGCTTATTCATGCTGTGAATTATGCAGCTTATTTTCTATTGTATTTAATTTTTTAAACTATAATTTTTTAAGATAAACTCCTAGCCCTGACCCACTAACTTGATTACACAATCCACTAATGGGTTTTGACTGTTACCTCTGAAAACCAGTAATATGGTAGTGTATGTTCTATCTCTGACTGTCTTTTTGATAAGCATTTTAAACCACACAGGTATTTCATTGTACAGTATATTTTTGGTTGTGATTTAAAGATATAAAAACATGCTAGCCCTGTTCAAAAATAAAACTTCAAAAGTCAATTACATGAATTTCATAATGTCTTTGGATTTCTTTTTCAGAGGGAAATGATAGAGATTTTACCTTGAACGATTTCAGCTTCATGATCTTCCACTCACCCTACTGTAAACTGGTTCAGAAATCTCTGGCTCGGATGATGCTGAATGACTTCCTGAATGACCAGAACAGAGATAAAAATAGCATCTATGGTGGCCTGGAAGCCTTTGGGTAAGGGGAATGTTAGGATTTTTTTTCCTCCTATATGAGAACATTTCTTATACCTATCTGTTAAACTATTATGTGTACAGTCCTGAAATTTTTAGAGTCCAAAGGATTTTAGAAGTAATCTAGTCTAAGCTATTTGTGTCATCAGTGAAGAAACCCAGTCCCAGAGAAGTGGTGGCTTACCTACAGGAAGTGTTGAGTCATTTCTACTCAGCTTTTCTGATTTCCCCCTTTTGGGGCCCTCCGTCATCAGCATGATAATATGGCCCACCAGTGCCTATATTTACAACAGCCTCTTCACTCTCCTCCTGCCTCTCCCCAGCCCTGGGCCCCAGATTCATCTGCTCACTGTCACGGTCAGAGTCGGCCTCCCTTCCACAGCTTCCGCACTGTTCAGGCTCACTGCCAACCTCCTTCCACTTTTCCTCACCTACCCCTTTTCCATCTGACGAAATTCTACTCACCTTTTAAGACTTGGCTCCTGTAATACAATGATTCTCCTAACTCAATAGACATTATTATGGACTCAAAATAGTATAGTCTTTTTGGTGACAGCAACACTTTAGTGTGTGTATTAACCCATTAGAAGCAAGTTGTCTTAACTTGGTTATTAAAAACTTTGAGAAAAATGATTATCTGTTTACAACTGTTATATTTTCCATATCAATTAGCATGCTACTACCTGGCCTTTAACAAATGGAATCATAAAGAACAGAATCATACACACTTGGAGATGAGAATAGTAATTGGGTACACTAATACAATAAACATGGAGTCTTTGAACACTAAAGCTGTCTTTTACAAATCTTTCAGGGATGTTAAATTAGAAGATACTTACTTTGATAGAGATGTGGAAAAGGCATTTATGAAGGCTAGTTCTGACCTCTTCAATCAGAAAACGAAGGCATCCTTGCTCGTATCCAATCAGAATGGAAACATGTACACGTCCTCAGTGTATGGCTCCCTTGCCTCTGTTCTGGCCCAGTAAGTATCACTCTCCGCTACTAACTCCCCTCATTCAGGGAATGTTAGGATTCTAAGACCAGCTTTGGAAATTGTACTTCCAGGCTCTCTAGCCTATTGTCCATTGACTTAAAGAATATATGGGGTGAGGCTACTGTTATTCCATAGTATTTCATGTCAACATGGCTTTTTTAAAAAAAATACATATTTTTATTGATTTTAGAGAGAACAGGAGAGGGTTAGAGAGACAGAAACATCTATGATGATAGAGAATCATGGATTAGCTTCTTCCTGCAAACCCCCCACTGGGGAAAAGGCCCACAACCCAGGAATATGCCCTGATTGGGAATCAAACGATGACCTCCTAGTTCATAGGTCAACACTCAACCACTGAGCCACACCAACTAGGCACACTGGCTTTTCTGGCTCCTGTTCTCATGGTTTTATTATTCCTGATCAGCAGTTGAACCAGAAATGCCCGGTTGACAAGGTGACTTATTTTATGGTAAAATAACTTTCATAAGCCCCCCCCCCCTCCTCGAAGAGATGAACAGCTTGGTTCTGTGGGCTAGCTGTCAAGTCAAGCTTTAGGTTAGGTCCCTCAGGCTATAGGACGAGTTCCTAGTCCAGCTCAGAGCTTTCTGAACACTGTAGTTTCACATCAGTTAAGTTTCCTGGCTCCTCCCCTGCACAGGTACTCGCCTCAGCAGCTGGCAGGGAAGAGGATTGGCGTGTTCTCCTATGGCTCTGGCTTGGCTGCCACCCTCTACTCCCTTAAAGTTACCCAAGATGCCACCCCAGGTAAACACCAAGTCTTTCAACAAGAATGTGTGGGAGCCTGTTCTGGGCAGGTTGTCCAACAGCTTCTCAAGCACGCTCAGTCTGTCCCACGGGGCATTGCTGCATTTCAATGTCAGTATTTCTTCCCACACAGCCTGGTTTTACTCTCATCTAAGAATCTGCCTTACCTGGGTGAAAGGCAGCTCTGTCTGCCTGAGGATATCTTCTCTCCACCCTTCCAAATCAGGAAAAAATACCAGTTTAAACATTTTATGGTGGGCTGTTTTGATTTTTCCTTTTTTGGCAAATAACTTTACCTTTCATCTCGTGTTCTCAACATGTAGTCAGGGAAAGGAAGCACATCTACTTAAGGCAGGCAGCTTTTTGAGTGTTTAATGATTGAGTCTGATCACATGAGTGGGTAACAAATCATCTCGTACTGTTCACTAATATTTAAGTTATCTAGTTTTCCTAACTTTATGGTCTTGGCTACTTTTAAGGAAACTTCTGTGCCTTCTCTGTGGTAGAAGGAACAAAACAGAATGATGGTAGACTTGGCACTGCTTTAAAAACTGCCTCTATACAAGTTATAGTCTCAACTTCACCTGGTTAAAAACTTGTGCACTGGCTAACACTGAACAGGTATCTTGTCAGAGGTCATAGAAGCTGTGTCAGATAGATACCATCTTATCTTTAAATATATATATTTACTAGAGGCACGGTGCACGAATTTGTGCACCAGTGGGGTCCCTCAGCCTGGCCTGCAGGATTGGGTCAAAACCAACTCTCTGACATCCCCCGAGTGGTTCCAGATTGTGAGAGGGTGCAGGCCAGGACAAGAGATCCCACTGGGTATCCTACAGGAATTGTTGAGTCATTTCTACTCAGATTTTCTGATTTCCCCCTTTTGGCGCGCTCTGTCATCAGCATAATAATGTGGCCCACCAGCACCCGTATTTACAACAGCCGGGGCCAGGGAGAGACCCGGGATGTTGGCCAGCTGGTAGGGACTGTGTGTCTGCCTGTCTCGCTCAGTCCCTATTGGCCGGACCCCAGCAGCAAGCTAACCTACCAGTCAGAGCGTCTGCCTCCTGGTGGTCAGTGCACATCATAGCAACCGGTCGACTCTCTGCCCCCTAGTGATTAGTGCATGTCATAGCAAGCGGTTGAGTGGCCTTAGCATATCATTAGCATATTATGCTTTGATTGGTTGAACAGACAACCAGACACTTAGCATATTAGGCTTTTATTATATAGGATAGTTTTTTAGAATTGATTTTTAGAGAGAAAGAGAAACATTGATGTGAGTAACTGCTTGGTTGCCTCCTGTATGCACCCCAACCACAACCTGGGTCTGCGCCCTGACCATGAATCAAACCCATGACCCTTTGGTGCACAGGATGATGCCCCAGCCAACTGAGCCACACCGGCTGGGGCGGTAGATACCATCTTATCTTTAAACGATAGCCAGTAGTTATAATAAGCAGTGAAAGTGGTTTTTTTTTAACATTTGGCAACATTTTGTTTAGGCTTTCGGGTATGCTATTTTTAATCTTTTAATGTTGGAATTCTTTACTATTTTAGGCTCTGCTCTTGATAAAATCACAGCAAGTCTGTGTGACCTGAAATCGAGGCTCGACTCAAGGACGTGTGTGGCACCAGCCGCTTTTTCAGAGAGCATGAAGCTCAGAGAGGACACTCATCACCTGGGTAAAATATTCTGTTGTTAATTTACACATATACACCCCAAAGCCTGTAACAACATGAAACACACCACATAAAGATACGGTTACCCACAGACCTAGGCTGTATTCAGTACAAACCTGATGTTGGTGAAAATTGTAGGAAAACATGCAACCCTTCAGTTCATTACCAGGTAAGTTGTGTATCATAACTAATTGTTCACATTCTCCACCTTTCCTTCAGGCAACTACATTCCCCAGAGTTCCATAGATTCCCTTTTTGAAGGAACATGGTACCTGGTTCGAGTGGATGAAAAGCACAGGAGAACTTACGCCCGACGACCCTCTCCAAATGCCAACACTTTGAATGAAGGAGTAGGACTTGTGCATTCAAGCACAGCCACTGAGGTACAGGGAGCACATGGTGGTTGGTCGTGGGCTTTGGTGGGGGGACATTTCCATCCCCAGATTGCTGGGCGTGGGGGGCCTACCTGAGGCTTAGCAGCTTAGGGAATATCAGAAAGAGATTCAGAGTGGGCTTGGGGCTTGGGTTCCAGCTGTGCCCTTTCCCAGTTTTATAAAGTCCTTGCATTTAAATGGTTATCATTTTCAAGTTTTAATAATACCAGATTGAGGGGAAGACGGGTCTAGAGAGAGGCTCATTTGTGACACATCTTGGGAGAGAACATAAGGATAGGGTATTGCGGCCCTCACCTCTCTTCTCTTGGGCCGTTGACAAAGTGGTCTCCAAAGTTGCCAGGAGGTGGCAATAATAGCTGTGCTTTGAATTCCTACTGTGCTCGGTACTTTATTTTCATTTTCTAATTTAATCCTTATCAAAATGGCCTTTTGGTTAATGATACTATGCCCATTTTAGAGATGAGGCTGTAAGAAGTTAAATGGCTTGACGAGGATCATAGCCAGGTTCAAATTGGGGACTTTATAACCTTGCAGTTATTTATTACATCTCCTCAGCACGAACTTGGTGAACATAATCTTGCTTCTTGCTATTATACAAATTAGGTAGCAGGTCAACCTTCCGGCGTTTGGGTTGTGAATGGGAAATGTAACAAGTCCAGGCCGTGGCTGGTGGGTCTCTGGCCTCCCCCTCTCTTGCTGTGTTGATAGTTGTATAAGTTCACCATCAGGTAAAGAATGGTGTTCAGTTCCCGCTGTGAACAGTTGTATAGAGTATATTTAGCATAAACCTCCTTCTCCTGGAACTTGCATTAGCACCATGACCTGAGGCAGCTTCTCCCATTGATTTTTAGCACATTCCAAGTCCTGCAAAGAAAGTGCCACGGCTCCCGGGGACGGCAGCAGAGCCAGAAGCAGCTGTCATCAGCAACGGGGAGCATTAGGAACTGCCGTGCCGTGCGGGGAAGACCCGTGTGGGCCGGGCGGGGTGGATATGTATGGGAATGTTGGGAATGGGATGTCTGGGACAATATTAAAGGATTACATGTTGCTTAAAATTTTGTGACTGACATGGAGCCTGGAAAACTATCGTGTTCTTGGGAAAGTCTCTGCTCAGTTTGCTAATTCGCTTCCTATTGCGTCTAGCTGATGCTTACTGTACTCCATGATGTTAAGGGCTCTGCAAAACTTCATACCTCTCCGGCCATTCGTATGCATGAAGCTTCGTTTTTAAATGTGGTTTGATGAGTCGTTTGTTTCTGGCAGAAAGGAGCAGAGCTACTGGTCTTCAATTTTAATTTTTTGAATGGATAAGAATTTTATACTTGGAACAAACAATATTACTGAAAGTACTTGTGGTTTTTGATAAAAAGTTTCTAGTTTAAGGAATGTGCTCTTACATGTGATATACACAAACCCTGTCTGAAAATGGCAAGACAAACATGTTGTTTTTCTAAACTCTGTACATTCTGGAGAGAAGAGTTGGAAACTGGAATGTGGCTTTAAATCCAGGCAGCAGTGGCGAGTGATTGAGGGGCCTGAGCGGAGAGGCTGGCCCTGAGCAGGCCTGGGAGGGCGGCCTGGTGTGTTTCAGCTCTGAGTGTGGCTCTAGGTCTGCCCTGAATCCGTTCATGCTGGACGAGGCGGAAAAACACTGAGATGTTATTGGAACTTGTGTATGAGGAAGCTTGTTGCTGCAGTCCTTCTGTGTACCCTATTTTGAAGAATAAACAAAACATTTTTCTGACTGCCTTTTAAAAATTTTAAAAAGGAAGGCTAGGGCAAGGCTCTCGTTACTCTGATGCGTCAGTGTTATAAATGCAACCGAAAGACTGTGTAGGTATGCTTTTCCTTTTTTAAAAAAAATCTGTTTAATGAAAATAAAAAGGTAAAACCCAAGTTTTTACATAGTTTAATCAGCCAAAATGAGGATTCCATCTAATATTAACTAGTGGTACTTTGATTTGTACAGTCATACTTTGTTAAAATGACTTCATTTTAACATCCAGATTAATAATGGAAGTTCAGATTTAAAGATCGATGGGAAAGTGGTGCATGCAATACTTTCACAAGTATTGGGAGTTCGGTATGTTTTGAAAAGAGTAACTTTTGGTGTCAGAAAAAAGGGTTGTTTCAAAGTCCATTGCCATCAATGGGCAGGCCCGGTAATATGGCACAGAATTAACTGTACACCTTATTGACAGTGAGGTGAATAACTTTGAATAAAGTTTTCGAGAAATATGGCAGATATTTGCGTCTTCTTTTTCTCTCCTAAACTAACATTTAGGCAAGAAATCAGCTGATAATCTATCTTTAAATATGGGCACTTTGCCCTAGCTGGTTTGGCTCAGTGGATAGAGCATTGGACTTCGGACTGAAGGGTCCCAGGTTTGATTCCAGTCAAGGGCATATGCCCGGGTTGAGGGCGTGCAGGAGGCAGCCGATCAATGGTTCTCTCTCATCGTTGATGTTTCTATCTCTCCCTCTCCCTTCCTCTCTGAAATCAATAAAAATATATTTAAATAAATAAATAAATATGGGTACTTGTATTATTTAAATTTATTCATTCACCAATTCATTCATCATTCAACAAACATTCCAAAATGTGATATAAACAAGGCACTCAAGTCAGAAATAAAATTTATAAGATATATGGTCTTGCCTTCAAGGAACTGTCCCTCTAGTGTGGAGTGATTTATACTGATAATTTATTATTACACTTTAGACAAAGAAAGGAAGTCCCAAGTTGGGTGATAAGCATGTATGAAGTTTGCTATAATTTTTAAAAAATATATATATATATTTTTTAATATATTTAGAGAAGAAGGGAGAGGGGTAGAGAGTTTGAAACATCAGCTGCCTCCTGCACACCCCCTCCTGGGGATGTGCCCTAAACCAAAGTAGCAGGCCGACACTCTATCCACTGTACCAAACCAGCGAGGGCTATAAATTTTTTTTTAAAATAGGTTTTTATTGATTTCGGAGAGAAATAGAAACATCAATGATGAGAGAATCTTTGATGGGCTGCCTCCTGCATGCCTCCTATTGGGGATTGAGCCTGCAACCCGTGCACATGCCCTGATCGAAATCAAACCGTGACCTCCTGGTTCATGGGTCAATGCCCAACCACTCACCCACACCGAGTGGGCTTGCTATAAATTTTTATATAGAGAGTTACTTTGTGTTCCTTGAAACAACTTAAGATTAAGAGTTAGCGCTGAAACCGGTTTGGCTCAGTGGATAGAGCGTCGGCCTGCGGACTGAAAGGTCCCGGGTTCGATTCCGGTCAAGGGCATGTACCTGGGTTGCGGGCACTTCCCCAGTGGGGGATGTGCAGGAGGCAGCTGATCGATGTTTCTCTCTCATCGATGTTTCTAACTATCTCTCTCCCTTCCTCTCTGTAAAAAATCAATAAAATATATTTAAAAAAAAAAAAGATTAAGAGTTAGCAATTAAGGATTCAGAGCAAATTCTATAGCTCAGCGACAGCTTCCAGCCCGTGTCACATGTACATGTCCTGGGGTTTTACAGAGAACTCTGCATTGGCAGTAATTGGACTAGGTAATCTGAGTCCTATCAACTCTTTTGGATTGTATTAATTAGGGAGTACACTTAATTTTATGGTACTGATTAGTTCATTTTATCATGTCATGTCTATATTCAATACTTAGTAATAATTTCATTTATTTCCTGTCCCTCTGGGTCATTCAGAAAAAGGCCAGTGTTCTGTTCTCTAAAGTCACTTTTGCAAATTCTAGAACCCTAGGGAATATGGTTTTAAGAGTCCTTACCCTTCTCAAATGAATTTGTGTACTTTTCCCCTCACCTTCTGGGTTTTTGTTTATTTTTATGAACACTGATAATTCTGAGATTTTAAACACTAGAAGAAACTCAAATAGATGCAAGCAACCACTTTGGTCCTCTTGTAACTTAGTTGAAATACTTTCTCTTGTCCTGCTATTTGAAATGGCCTAAAACAATGAAGTGGAAATCAACAGAACAAGGAATGTAACATGATCTTTTAAAAAAATATATTTTTATTGATTTCAGAGAGGAAGGGAGAGGGAGAGAGAGAGAAACACCAATGATGAAAGAGAATCATTGATCAGTTGCCTCCTGCACCCCTGGGGATCAAGCCCACAACATGGGCAAGTGCCCTGACCAGGAATTGGACCATGACCTCCTGGTTCGTAGGTTGATTCTCAACCACTGAGCCACACCGGCCAGGAGTAACGTGATCCTTAAGTAAATTAGAGCTATGTAATCTTGACACAAACATGAACACTTCCTTTAAAATTTTTAACAACTGCTCTTAATTGAACATAGGCTCCTCATTTTATTCCCTCTAATTGGTGGTGGAAGAAAATAGTTGACCTGTGATCCATCCCCCCCAAATTGTAAAGATAGTAATTTGATGCCGGAGATTATGAATACCAATCCTCAGGAAGTTTCTAGATCATCAGGGCTCTAGGTTATAATTTTTTTAAAAAAATGCATTTGTATTTAAATGTTTACAAGTAAAAAATACAAGGAAATCTTATTTGTCCTATTCCGTCTTTGTGTAGGCAATAATAGTAAGAGTTATTGAATTTTGTGAAAGCTCCCAACCCACCCTAGCAAAGTCTTGTTCGTCTTCAGGGTCCAGCTCAAGTTGCTTCCATCCTGAGAGCTGCCTGGGCTACCTTACTCGGTAGTGAGCACTTTTCACCCCGGAGGGCATCACGTTCCTTACTCAGGCTTGCAACTCCCACAGGACCTGGTCCCTGCCAGCACCACACTCAGTCCCACACTCATCCTGCCTTTCCTTCTTTCCTCAAACATGCCAAGGTACTCCAGCCTTCCAGCCTTTGATCTATGCATCTGACACCTTGGGCCCCACTCAGATCTCTGCCCTGCGGTCTTCACCAGGGTCTCAGAGAATATGAGAGCACCTCCCTTTGGATTCCTGCTACATACTCCCTCTGGCTTCACTGCGATGTGGGATCCCCACAGAACTCACTTGGTACACAAAATTTCACCTCCCGGAAGGGCAGAGCAGTCAAGTTCCCCTGGGGTCACTTGCTGGTGACCAATGACGGACACTCACTGGTGGGTAAATGCTTTTTCCTTCCATCCCCTGGGCAGACAGTTCTGAGCAGCACTCAGATCCTGCAGATCAACGACCAGTGTCCTGTGGCCGATCCAGCAACACATCTTATGCTGGCTTTCGTTCTCTTCGTTGTACTGCGTGTCCCGCACCCTGGGTCATTTCCCAAATAAATGACTTGCCTGCCAGCTTCTGTGTCAGGCTCTGCTGTTTTGGAGAATTCAGGCTACGACCATTGATACCTGGGACAGTCATAAAATGGACCCTCGGGATGGGAGGTTGGAGCTGGTTCACTCATCAACCCTGCAAACCATCCCATTCGGTGTGTAGTTGGCAGAGTGATGGCCCCACCCCCAAAGATGACCATCTCTGGCCCCTGAGAATGTTACCCTGCATGGTGAAAGCAGATATTAAGGTTAAGGACTGGGAGATGGGAGATTTCCCTAATGGTCCAGATAACCCAAACCCAATCACATGGGGCCTTAAAAGCAGTACCCTTCTGGGCTGTAGCCTGGTGGCCATGGGAGGATGGGCAGTCAGGGAGATGCACGTTGCTGGCTTTGAGGATGGAGGAAGGAAACCACCAGACAGGGAATATGGGATGCTTCTAGAAGCAGGAAAAAGCCAGGAAATGGGTTCTCCCTGGAGCCTCCAGAAAGCCCAGACCTCACACATTTCAGTGCAATGAGGCTCATGCTGGGCTTCCATCCCACAGAACTGTCGGGTAATACATTTGTGTTGTTTCTCGCCACCAAGACATCACAGCATCAGTGGAACCGAAGGCACTGCTGGTGGGCAGGGTGCAGTCACCCTGCAGACAGGGGCAGCAGTTACTGTCACTACAGGTGCAGGTGGGCCAGAGCCGGATCACGTAGCACCTGTGGCACTTGACCAGTACAGGGCAATGATAAAGGCAGGTTTGGCCAGCTTTCATTAACTGCTTTGGAAGCCAGGGGGAAAAAACTAAATAAGATGCTTTTTTAAGTCAGCCAACCATCAAGTCTGTGAAAGTCTGAGGGCCTTGGATTGCCGCAGAGGAGAAGCACTGTGAGGCCCAGGGCCTAGTAGGGAGGGTGGCTGCGCTGCACAGGAGGCACTTGACCACCCTCTTTATCAAAGTCAGGGCCTTGATAGGAAGAGAGTGGGAGACTAGGATCTAAGTAACAAAAGGGAGGATGAGCCTGAAGATGTTGAAAACCGGCTCCCCACACGCGGGTCTTCCTTGTCTAAAGACCCCGCCGAGGTCTAGGGAGGCAGATGCCTGCCTGCAAGATGCTGCTTGACCTCCTCAGGATGCTCTACAAAATACCTTTGTTCTCCAAACGGAGAGCTGGGCAGGTCCCCACGCATCCCCCGCAGAGAACTACAACCCTGTCCCGGAGGAAGTAGCTTAGACACTGAAGGAGCTGCGGCACCTGGTGGAGGCGCACTGTCAGGAGCCAAGGGGGAATGTGGGGGGAGCAGGGGAGGATCCTGAGGGCATTGGGCCAGGGGTGGGGGTGGAGGACAAGTATGAGGCAGGATAAAGGGCAGTTTATAATCATGGGAGCATTTAACCATGACTTGGAGTGAAGGGCGCCTGAGCTGGTCCTTATGTCCTGCGGGGACGGCTGTCGAGGTTGGCCATGAGCTTGGCTCAGTGAATGAGGCGCACAGAGTAGAGCTGCCATGGCATAGTGTTCAGGGCAGGGACAGGAAGTTCCAGGAGGTGTGAATGTCAGAAGGGATTCATTACGTGAGACTGGAGAACCACCTGTTTCCCAGGACCATGTTCCCTTCATTGAGGCAATGAGTGCGCGCAGCACCTGTTCGAACGTCAGGGATTGATGGGGAAATGCTGCGTGGAACCGGGCACGCTTTTGCTAACGGGACAGTGGGATTCCTGCATGGCAGAGGCCATGTATTATATACATGTCAGGCGAGGTGGACATAATCGAAGGGATGTAAGGCTGGAGTGGAAATCAGGGTGTTTTGCCCTGCGGGGGCTTGTGACAATGTCTAACAGATCACAGAGCTCTGAGTGACAGCTGGCTGGAGTGTTAGTTACTTGACTTGCAAAACCACACAGAGAAAGAAAGGAGGCAAGTCAGTGAGCAGAGCCTGGGGTAGCCTGTCACCATGAGAGAATCATGGCCCCAGGGGTAAGTTGATTGACAGGTCCTGTGCAGTGGGAGAGGCCCAGTCTCTCTGCTGCCACACGTGTATGCAACATACACACCCAGAATTTTTGAGGACCGTTGGATAAAAATCTACGCTGGAACGATACCAGGGAACGGAGGATCAAAAACAGTTCACGTTTCTCTGGGATGGACATCGATTGTCATTTACTCTGTTGCCCCCCAGGTGGTGACCAGTCTCCTGTTCTGTGTCAATAGAGTCTGAAAGGACCTTGACATTCTGCAGAACATCATGCCTGCCCTGTATCAAGGTGGATCTAGCATCTGAAAGTGGCAGGTAGAGAACCAAGATGGTGGCGTAGGCAAACACCTGTGCTCGCTGCCTCCCACAACCACATCAGAATTACTACTGAAATACAGAACCACCATCATTCAGAACCGCCTGAAAGGTGGCTGAATGGAAGTCCTACAACTAGAGAAGTGAAGAAGAAAGCACAGGAGGGGAGGAGGCATGGAACAGGCTGGTCCAACACCCACGTTTGCCATTATTTTAATCGGGAGGGAGATCTTCCCTGTCCCTGTGGAGGCCGCCCGTGAGGATCAAGGGGTCCCAGCCCCACACCAGCCCCCCGGCCCAGGATTCCAGAGTTGGGAAGAGAAGGCCCAAAACTACGGGCTGTAAAAACCAGGAGGGCTGTGGCTGAAAGAGAGGGAGACTGCTGAAGACCCACTTAAAGGGCCGGGCCAGTCCCTTACTCAGACTCCCAGCACCAGGGAAGCTTTGGGGGACCCAGACACATATGAGGAGGAACTGGATTGTCTGGCATTGGGGCAGCTTTCTCCCAGATGGGTGTTTGCAGGGGTCATTGTTCTCCCATTGCTGGGACCTCCCCTGTCACAGGACTGACTAGCAGGCACCATGTCTGAGTCTCCATCAGCCTGAAGCACACTGCTTGGCCCTGAGGATTCCGAGACCCCACCCCATCCAATTTGCAGTCTCACCCAAGCTGTTTGCGAGGCTTTTCCTGGCTCAGGCTTCAGACTTTGCTAAAATCTCTTAAACAAGCTGCAGCTGGAACAGCGTGCCCCACACCTATCAATAAAAGGCCCAAGTCCCAGCACTAGGCACTAGCACCAGCCTGCCTTGCTTCATAGCTGGGCCTTGCCTGGGCACCTCCAACCCCAATATAAA